ATTTTAAACTTGACGAAATCTCCCCAGAAACAGGGACATAGTCGTAAAAACACTGAAATTTTTCCAAACACTGACCCTATAATTTTGATTTAGGCTTTAGATTTTTTATAATTAACATCGAACTGAGAAACAATTAGCTACAGAATAATGGCGTTATATTAGCAAAGGTTCTAAGGTTAACTGCGTCGTTCCGTATCAAGAGAAAGATATTGCACACGTACGAGCAAGCACAGTTTAGCAACAGTAGTGAACAATTGACCAATTTAGTACGTTTCTAAAACTAAATATTTAACAAAAGGACGTGAGGTATATTTTTCATTTTCATTGATACGAATCTGTATCCAGCAGAGCAGCATTGTCAGTAGTGCGCCGTCCAATGGTAATACCATATTTTCACACCTGTCACGAAGTTTACTGTGAGTTAAACAACGAACTATTTTCCAAGATATCCGCCTAAAGAAAGTAACCCTCGAGTTTGGACAAAAGGCATTTTTGACACAAAGAACTACAATAATTGCTGTTTGAGAAATGTTATGAGTACCATAGTTCGACACGTACGGAAGTTCGACAATTTGGTGCGCTACTTGGACTATGGTTCGGGTGGGCGACAATTGACCCCCCCCCCCCGACAATTGACCCCCACTGTCACATCGTCCAGTTTGCAGACAGTCTAACTGTACTTCAGATAAATGAGCTGCCGATGGTTTAACTGTATTGCAAATGCCTGTGCTGCAGGTAGTCTAACTCTAACTGTACTCAATAAAACAATACTGTACTGCAAAGTACAAATGCATTATGCGCTTAATAGTCAATAAAGACACCGTGGTTGTTATAAAAAGGAGATGATGAAGCAAGTATTCAGGAACATAGGCATGACACAAAGAAGAATGGTCGGTGGGGATTGGGACCCACTTAAATTATAAATTATATTATTTAATTATAATTATATGCTCTCACCTCTCTATATAATAAATATCCGGCAGTATCCAAGTAGCCCGACACGTGTTCGCCAGGTTGTTGTTCCGAACAGGTGTTCACGAACAACATGATGCTTACTAATATCCTGCAACAGGAGTCAACATGAACCTATTTAAATATCATTGCAAGCTCCCAAGTGGTCCTTTCTAGAAACCTAGACATTCATTAACGTGTAACGTGACGGTGCCTCATGCCGACGTTATCACTAACACGAAGAAATTGGCTAGATACGTTTATACAGCAGGTAGAATTGCTCTGTGTAGGTAGCAAGGTTACCAGGTTAATCTTTTGTTCTACACAAGATCGAGGGTATTGTCCTAGCGGTTCTAATGACATAATGGCCTTGGTTTATGGGGATTCAGCAACGGGTTTTCTTGCTACAACAAAGCAGGAACCCTCTGCTTAAAATTCTCATGAATACAATTATTATATCATTGGTCTAGATGCGTGTTTTGACTCCTTCTCTCCTTTCTTTGTGTTATACTAAGATAATCTCACATTAACGGATCTTTAAATTTTCTGACAGAATACACGCTACCATGAACGTACTCGGTACTTTCATTGAGAACACTGACTAAATGAATCAGACAAAGAGCTGGATTTAGCTTCTTTTAACTTATACTTATAACAATGACATTCAAGATAATGAAGAAATCCTAAGTGTTAACAGGTAACTTGCCGTCAAAGAGCTGGTGACATAATCTTAGCCTCTCATTTTCTGTTACTGTTCAGTTATTTTCCCTCCCTGCTGTCGAGGCTGAGTACGAATTCTCCAACGAGCTAATACAATGCTGTAGCTTCGTAAGATTACCCTACGAAGCTGAAACCTCCCCAGCAAGCTTTTGCAAAACTGTCAACTCGCTGCTCTCTTGACCCTTCACAGCCAGAATAAGGGAGGAAAATGAACAGGTCGGATTTTGGAGCATCACAACACATGGCGTGAGAAGTTTCAAGCCGTTTAAAAGTTTACTCTAGTCATAATTTGCCTCAAATCTTAATTTTTATTTTCCGTTATTCATTTTGTCAGTTTTGTTCATATTTTACTGTAAAGACATTTAAAAAAACTCTTGGTTTGATATAGTACAGAATGCTGAGATAATAGTTGAATATTATGATGAAAACATAAACAGAACGAAATATTACATAGGTACGTACCGCCCAAAAGTGCGAAACATTGAACATGCAAAAAAAGTTATTTTACAAGAGTTCAAATCAAAGACTGACCTATTCCCAAAAAAACTAAACACTACCGTATGATTTAATCACAAAATAATTCCATGTGATTTTAAAATGTCGAATATCAATAAATTCCAGAAGTTTTCCTAGAAGTTTTTTTTTTCAATCCTTTAAATTTATTCAGTAGTAGTGACGTTCCTTTCACTGAACAGCAAGAGAGCGTAAAGCAAGCTGAAGAGCACACAGACCACTGTTTGGATGATGGGAATAAACTTTACGGAGCCGTCTGGAAGCATGTCTGTAAGCATGCCCTGGATGCATCTCAAAGGTGCTTCGAAAATGGAAACCTGGATAAGGAAGTAGATGACAAGTGACACAATGGTTGCAAGAATGTTTCTGGATCTCAGCCATTTCTCAACCACGCACAGAACTAGACCAATGATCACTGCAATCCACCCTATCAAGCCCATCTTGTCCAAACCTGCACACACTCCTGAAATGGTTTGGGTCTCAAAATTACTCATAATCGTATTTTCATGATTATTGTAAAAATTTCGTCATAGTTTGGTTATACGTGGCTCTGTTTAACTGTATAACGAGTGATATACTTATTCATATTTAAATTGATCTCTGAACTTTTTACTCTGAAATAAGTAACATCTGAAATTGTCAAATTGTGATAAGATGAAACATGAGATTAGAATAAATTACTTAATTACCGTCATCAGTTGCAGCAACAATTCTGAGGAAACGGTTCTTCTATCAGAAAATACAGAGAAGAAGAAGAGTTGTTGTTACTTCAGGTAACCATGTCCTGAGTGACCCGATCTTGCTTCCAATTTTAGCGTATCTTGCCATTTTTTGCTAGACTCTAGGTCCTATCAGTGGAGTATATTAGTTTTTGTATTAAAATCAGGCTTAAGGCTTATAATTGGTGTGAATCTATTTTGCCTTAAACTACCACTAACTCACTAATGAATAAGCTCGCAACAAAAACAAACTGATAACTCGATGGAGTTGTGACGTTTCAAAACAAATTCTCATTATTATCAAACAAGGAAACACTATAAGGCATGCTCATTTGAAGTTGATGGTGGTGGTATTTTTCGAAGAATATTGAATTATAATTGAGTGGTAAATAGTTCTTCAAAATCAGATATATTATTTTTATTAATTAAAATTCCATTATATAATGTGACAAAATTAACCTCATTTCCCAATGACCAAGTACCTGTATTGCCATTTAAAACAAAATATTTTAGGGCTATGATCCGTAGAAGAACCATAAAATAATGAGTTTAAGTTTAAATGGTTTTGAGGACACCTCACAGTAGAAAAGTGATCGTATTCTGGTGAGGACAAAAGATAAACCTAATATTGCCTTATATTTGTTGGATCCGTGCTCTTTAACCAATGTTGTATTACAATTATTAGATTGACCTAATCTACTATATTTCAGACCTAGGAATGATAATTGTAGTATAGTTATTGGGAAAAATAGTATAGTTAACACAGTGTGCTTTTAAACATTATAGTGCCTAACAACAATACATTTTCTTTCTGCGGGCAGTACATATTATTATTATGGGAGTATGGGTCACGTGGCTAATGCTCAGAACTTCTGAACATGCTAGGCTAACAGATGTAAAATTTATGCCACTAATGTCGAAAAACGTTATTTTTTGTGTTAACCAATATCTCAACTTCAAATCAACATGTCCATAAAGGGACACTATAGTTCTAATATTAAACAGAACAAATCCCTTTAAACAATGATCAGAAATAAAACTAAAAAGCCTGCAGTAGACATTTAAGAGGAGAAGAGCATAAGATTACAACCATGGGAACAATGAGTTCAGTGTTATAGGCCAGGAGATTCGGGCGGGTGAAGAACTCTAATTAGGTTCCGCAGGTATTTTTGTGTTGTTTATTTACCAGATTCTGTGTTGTTTATTTACCAGAACAGACAGGGATATCATCTAAACAGGTCCTCAACTCTGCCAACTCGTTAGCAATTGTCTGCACAATTTGTTGGAATAGGAGCTAAATTCATAGGGCTGTTAAGGTAATTGGATTTTGTATCGCGTTTATCACGATATAAGTTGGAATTTAAAAATTCCTACTGTGTCCGTATAGAAGGCTGAGGGCTAAGTTGGATACGAAAACATTCCGAGAAATTATCTAATTGCAACTTCAACGAAGCAGTTATCCGTATATAGATATCGGTTGATTGAGTTCCAACTTTGATCCAACTCAATCATGGCAGTCGGGCCAATATAACAAACTTAACCTACAGAAGGCAAGATGAAGTCTATAAGTCAGAAGTCTACAGGTGGAATGAAGATGAACTCGGGCAAATGTTAAGGTAGCTTATATATTAGATTTAACGGAACAGTAGATTATATTCAATGTGCTGTGGACTTAGAAGTAAAGTGTTACCTATACAGCTATACTTTGTGGGCAAAATCTCCTGTATTTACATTAAGATAAGCTTCTATTGGAAAGTTTCTATAAATGTTCCAGACAAGTTTGGCCAACTTGGGACTTGGGGAGGTTTTAAATTAGGATAATAGTTTATACTTTACAGTTTACATGTTCCTGGTCATCTTCTCTAAGGACTAAGGTTGAAGTAGTGGACTAAGGTTGAATTAGTGGACTGCTTAGGTGAGTAGGAGTAGATAGGTTTGTGATTCATAACAGTAGACGGTATTGTACAGGGTGAAACAAATAGGAGTGAACACCTTGCTGCCGACACCAAGATTTGCCTTAAACCTTACTTTTTATTTTATGTTATTTATTTTTATAAGTTTTATTCAATTCAACTGTAAAGAAATGAAAAAGGTCTTGATACAATAGAGAATACTGATATAATATTTGAATATTATGATGAAAAGATAAACAGAATAAAGATATAAACATACAAACCACCCAAAAGTACGGAACATTGAACATGCAAACTAAGTTATTATTACAAGAGTTTAAACCAAAAACTGATCCATTCCCGAAAAGTCTATTATTTATGTTCTGTATCGATTTTGATTATAATATATCTATCACTACGGTATGATCACAAAATATATACACATGGGATTTTAAAACTTCGAATATCAATAAATTCCAGAAGTTGTCCTCAAAGTTATTTATCCTTTAGATTTACGCAGAGTAGTGACGTTCCTTTCACTGAACAGCAAGAGACCGTAAAGGACGCTGAAGAGCACACAGGACACTGTTTGGATGATGGGAATGAACTTGGTGGAGCCCTCTGGAAGGGTGTCGTTAACGAGGGCCTGGCTGCAACTCAGAGGTGCTTCGTTGATAGAAAGCTGGATCAGGAAGTAGATGACAAGAGATACGAGGGTTGCAAGAATGTTTCTGGATCTGTTATATTTCTCAAATACGCACAGAACGAGACCAATGATAACCGCAATCCATCCTATCAAGCCTTTCTTGTCCATTCCTGCACAAAGTCCTGAAATTGATTAGGTTTTTAATTACTTATGAATATTTCTTAATTTAAAATGTTATTATAGTTTGTTGATACATTGATCTCTACATAATATTATATAACAGTACAACGAGTGATATACTAATTCATATTTAATCTGATCTCTGAACTTTTTACTTTTTACTAAGTTAATCTTACACCTGAAGTTGTGATGATATTTAAATATGAAACATGAGATAAGAATAAATTACCATCATCAGTCGCTGAGACAATCCTGAGAACGGTTCCCACGACCAGGATGCAGAAAAGAGTTGTTGTTACTTCAGGTAACCATGTCCTGAGGTCTCCAATCCTGCTTCCGATTGTTGAGTATCTTGTCATTTTTTGTTAGATGCTATCCTAACGGTGGATTTAATCAGTTTTTAGAATAAAAAGAGGCTTATATTTGGTGTGAATCTATTTTGCCTTAAAATGCCACTAACGAATCAGCTCGCAGCAACAACAAACTGATAAATCGATGTGAGTTGTGATGTGTTAAAACTAACTCTTATCAGACAAGGGGTCGCTTATTAAACGAAAGGGACAGTGTAGTTCTAATATTACACAGAACAAAGCTCTAAGGACGATCAGAAATAAAACTGAAACGCCTGCAGTAGTTTAAGAGGAGAAGATTTTAAGATTACAACCATACGGACAACCTGGCAATGAGTTCAGTTTTATAAGCAAAATCGGGAAAATCTTGCATTTACGATAACAGTTCAGTTCTCCCGGAAATTCCAGTTCATTGAATACCATAATTATAAAGCACTGTCTTTAACGGGACAATAATTGTTAGATAAACTGATAAACAGCACATTTTTCAAGTACCTAAATTCCAGACTAAGTTAAAGTAGCTTCTAACTACGGAAATACCTACGGTAAAAGCAACATTCTGCAGCTATAACAATCCAAAATCGTGTGATTCTTAAATGAACTTTAAATTTATTATACTTTGTGGGCAAAAATCTTCTTGCATTTACGATCTGCTGATGATCTTCTGTTGGAAACTTTCCAGACACATTTCCAGAACAAGAAATGTTCCAGACACAGTTTGCCCCGCGCTTGGGAGTTTTTGAAATTTTTTTTCCTCCTACTTGGACAAGGATACACAGTCGTGAACGAGACCTCCGAAGCGATATTTTAAACTCCACAAGAAGATATTTTACGCGGTCACCATGATTTTAACTTTTTAATAATAAATGGCTGAGTTTGAAAATTTGATATGTGCGGTTTGGACTATTACCAATTTTACTCCAATCTTACCCGGATAATTACCACTGTGATAATGAATGATTAGGTATGGCCACCAAACGGCCTTCAAACGGCCGCTTAACGGCCACATATACGCATTTCAAACGGTCCTAATGTAGGTACGACCTCTGCACTGTTACCATACGGCCTCTATACAGCCTCTATACGCGGACTCTATACGGCCTCTATACGGTCTCTACAAGGCACCATATTTCCAATATAAGGCCACTAAATAATTTGTGTTCAAATTCGAATCGGGTACAATTTTTCCATGAATTATTTGACTGTAATAGAATTAATAGATAAAGTCTCTTGAAAGTGGAAAATATAATTATAGTAAAAAGGTGTTCACGTTTTGTGGATTATTTTAACTAACAATTGCAGACTCACACGTTATATATTTTACAGAAGAAACATAAAACGCTCGTGTTATTAGAGAAAAAGAAGGAGAAACGTTATCAACAAATTCTAAGTGACACAGAGCGTTTTATTGAAAGCTATAGTTCTTATAGCACTTGCTGACTACTGTTATACCACTACCAGGACATCTCCAAACCCATTGTTTGATTATTACTATATGGTGAGGGTAGCGCTAATGAAGACGTTTATTTGTGTAAGACTGTTGTCCATAAATTCCTTAAGTCTCCTCTGATCTGCAACTATGCAACAAGTTGGAACAATAGCAGTTGCCAATAATCTAAAGTTTGTTTACAGGGGCTACAGAGTGTCAATAAGGAATGCCATGTGAATTCTACACTAGCTCTAGCCTTCTTATAAGATAATTAGTTGGTATTTCAACAATTTCCTGGTATGGTATATCTCAATCTGTGTAAGACAGCTGTCCCTTAATTCCTCAAGCCTCCCCTAATCTGCAATCATACAATAGTTATATGGCAATAAGAACCAACATTAGCGGTTGCCAAAAAATCTAAAGTTTGTTGATATTTACAGTTCACAGAAACGGCAATAGCGGTCGTACAGAGTTGGCATGCGAACTCTACCGAATTTATTAACTAATGAATCTATTGATAGCTCCATCAAATAATCGTCTCTAATTGGGTGACGTAATCTGATCTATGTGGGAGATCTGGCGATAAGGGCCGGGGTAACATGGATTTAATTTGCTTCTCAATTTTTTACTTTTCTGAAAACTCATTTACCTCTGTCTTCTTAAATAAAAGCAACGAATGGATATGAAATGTTCTGATAGGAATGTGCTGCACGCAAGGAATGTACTGCAGGCAAGGAATGTACTGCAGGCTAGGAATGTACTGCAGGCAAGGAATGTACTGCAGGCAGGTAGTTGTGTACACAATTTCTCGAATTAGAACCGGTTCAAGTGCATACCTCTAAACAGGTTTATCTTCTCTTCCGGCTCACTATCTGGAATATAATATTGATACAGTAATTCTATTTCAGTTCCCCCGGAAATTCCAGTGCAATTTGTTTTACTTATATTCTTTAGATACCTTATAGCACTGTATTACCTTATTACGGGACAATAAATAGATAAACGCTAAACAGACTGGGGATATCAAGATTTGCCAAGATTTGCCTTGAACTTTATTTTCTGTTGTTTATTTTTGTCAGAAATTAAAAGGTCTCGATTTGATACAGTACTAGTAGAGAATACTGAGATATAATAGTAATTGAATATTATGATGAAAACATAAACAGAATAAAGATATAACCTAAAAGACCACCCAAAAGTGCGGAAGATTGAACATGCAAACTAAGTTATTAATACAAGAGTTTAAACCAAAAACTGACCTATTTCTGAAAAATCTATTATTTATGTTTTTGTCTCGATTTTGATTATAATTTGTATTCATCATTAACCGTATGATCACTTAATCACAAAATAAGTACATTTCATTTTAAAATGTCTAATATCAATAAATCCCAGAACTCAGAAGTCGTCCTAAAACATTTTAATCTTTTCGATTTACTCAGTAGTGACATAGCTTTCACTGAACAGCAAGAGAGCGTAAAGGACGCTGAAGAGCACACAGGACACTGTTTGGATGATAGGAATGACCTTGGTAGAGCCCTCTGGAAGGTTGTCGTTGATCAGGCCTGGCTGCAACTCAGAGGTGCTTCGTTGATAGAAAGCTGGATCAGGAAGTAGATGACAAGTGACAAGAGGGTTGCAAGAATGTGTCTGGATCTCAGCCATTTCTCAATTACGCAGAGAACGAGACCAACGATCCACCGCAATCCATCCTATCAAGCCTTTCTTGTCTATTCCTGCACAAAGTCCTGAAATGGGGATTAGGTGTCAAGTACGAATGAATATTTTCATAACTATAAGATGTTATCATTGATTGGTGATACGTGGCTCTCTATTGTAACAGTATGACGAGTGATATACTTATTCATAATAATATGTAGGTAATCAAACTGTGAACTTTGTAATTTAAAATTAGTTAATCTTACATCAGCTGAAGTTAATGAGATAATATGAAACATAGTAAGAATAAATTACCATCATCAGTTGCTGAGACAATTCTGAGAACGGTTCCTACGATTCAGAATACAGAGAAGAGTTGTTGTTACTTCAGGTAACCATGTCCTGAGTGACCCGCAACTGCTTCCAATTGAAGAGTATCTTGCCATTATTTGTTAGACTCTAGGTCCTATCAGTGGATTTAATCAGTTTTTAGAATTAAAACAGGCTTCTATTTGGTGTGAATCTATTTTGCCTTGCTACTAAGGAATCAGCTCGCAGCATGTGACTTAAAAAACAAAAAATCTTATCAGACAAGGGAACACTATAAAGTGACAGTGTTGTTTTAAATTTTGTATTACTATTACAACCATGTGGACAACCAGACAATGAGTTCAGGTTTATAAGCCAAAATCGGGAAAATCTTACATTCACGATAAGAGTTCAGTTCCCCCGACAATTCCAGTTCAATTCATTTTACTTAAATATAATATTCTTTAAATTCCTTAAAGGACTGTATAACGGTACAATCACTGTTAGATAGACAGCAAATTTTTCAGATTCGTAAATTCTAGCTAAAGTAAGTAAGTAGCTTAATCTAGCTACGAAAATACCAACGGTAAAAGCAACGTACGCTGTCAGTCCGTACTTCAGGGGCAACATTATATAAGTGTGGTGGGTGCGGAATCGCACTATCTATGCTAATAATCTTAATAAATGTGTCTGTCTGTCTGTAATTTACGAATGGTTAAATCAAGAAAACGGTAAGAGATTTGGGACTGATTTTTTCGGTATAGTGCCGACAAAGCGGTTTACACTAGTTTACCTATAATATCTGTTCACCGAACCATTTGCCGTTATCCACTCCCTACTTCTAGCTACATAACATAAATGCTTTATTTCACGTTTAGATGAGCAGCTCTACGCAGGTATGCCTATAACTACGGTTAGGATCAATATAGTTTGATGACAAGAAAATTATCGAAAAGAAGGAGTTAAGTCAAAAAAGGCTGAAAACAAACATAAAACGATTTTTCCTCCAAACACCTAAAAGTTCATTTTTATCGCATGGCGAACTGACAATGGTTATGTAGCGACTTATAATATTATCAATATACACAAGAAAAGAGAAAGGTGGCCAATAAACAACTCATTAATGACGAGCACAATCACCAACAGATTCAAATAGTGTCACTTTAGCCACCATTAGATATTGTAGTTTACAGCGTATTGTTGTTTGAAGCTTGTACCCACAATGCAATGTGTTGGAATACAATTTGTTGTTGTAATATCACAATGTTGGGCTCTTCCTGAAGCGGTGCCAATAATCATGTACAAGATAGAGAGAGTCTGACTCAATCAAATTATCAGAACATGTATGTGTTATTTCAGAAGGGGTAACTGTGGATATCAAGATGTGGCTTTTGTTTCCCATTATGTATTAGTTTGTACTATAAGTCTATTTAATTTGTGCCGACTTAAATGGTCTGTAATTGATATAATAGGGAATAACGAAAAAATAGACGAATACAGTTATTAGAACATAAACATTGTCGAACATTGCACATGCAAGTAATATTTTGAAGGAAAATTAAACCAAAATAAACAGACCCATTTCCAATAAAACAATAATAAAACAGGTAGAACGTCAATAATTATACCCAAAAATTGTCCCAAAATGTTTCTTGACCTTTTAATTTAGGCAACCTGTACATTCCTTTCACTGAATAGCAAGAGAGAGTAGAGGAAGCTGAAGAGCACACAGATCACTGTTTGGACGATGGGAATAAACTTTACGGTGCCGTCTGGAAGCATGTCAGTAAGCATGTCCTGAACGCACTTCAGTGGTTCGTTATTTATAGAAATCTGGATGAGAAAGTAGATGACAAGGGAGACGAGTGTTGCAAGAATGTGTCTGGACCTCAGCCATTTCTCAATTACACAGAGGCAATAGGCACAACACCTACTGCAACCATACCTATCATACCATTTTTTGTGATCCTTCGCCAATGTCCTGAGAAGGGTTGGGTTTCATGATTATTTAATCCTTTGGTAATATGTGGCTCTAGATAGTAATAAATGCATGTACTTAAAATCAAGCCATGGGCTATTTATTTTAAAAACAGATGATGGTTAACCTAAAGTTCTGATAAAAAAGTGAGATAAAAAGAAGGACACGTACCTTTTTCTGTTGCTGAGACAACCCTGAGAACGGTTCCTACAATCAAAAGACAGAGAAGCGTTGTTGTAACCTCTGGGAGCCATTTCCTGAGTGAACCGATCCTGTGTCCTATCTTAGCGTATCTTGCCATCTCTTGCCTTTGCTAGACTCTTGTTCTATTAAAGTGTTCTATTGTTAAATGAAATTTAAAACTTAGATTTGGTGTGAGTCTGTTTTGCCTTCACTCCTAGTAAATAAATAACTGGCAGCAACAAAAAACTGATGCAGCGAATCGCAGAAAAAATCATTTAACGCAATTATAAGCTCAGGGAAAAAGTTGACGTCACAACAATAGAGGAAACAAATTTAAGAACAAATGCATCCGCTAAAACACCGTAAGAAGTTGTGAGCATAAGTTTATGGACAAACTACCCGTCGGTGTGCTCGTCCACTTGAGCACTTGTTTTGATAGGAAGGGTGCAGTTTGTTTATTTGTTTATTCTCAGCAAAATTACACACTCTAAATTTTACTAAAAACAATGTTTGTGGTCACACTGTACCAGAAAAATGTCAAATATACTTCTTGTGATAGTATCTTGATATCAAGGTTAGTTTAAACCTAAATTTGAATTATTAATTTGAAAATATTCAATAGCTAATTTGACACGTGTTTTCACTTCATTCCGTGATATTATCCACGCTTCTATGATAACTGTGTACCACGACAATATTTGTATCTTACATAACTGATGGTTATCTTGATAGTATCGACTAAAAAGATAGAATGTACGATAGCTGTACGGTTAAAATCTAGCCGGGCCATTCCCTAATCAATTCCTGACAAGATATTCACAACTTGAACGTTATAAAATAAGTTTCTTTCATGGAACAACTGCAGGACATGATAATCAATCAATACAAGGAAAACACATTAAAGTTGTTATTTGGAAAAATGAGTTGTTTATACAAAATAATATAAGCATTGTAATAAATTTCATACATTTTGTGCCGAATGGTCGTGTAAAGAAGACTTGTTGCTTAAAACCTCATGGAAGTATTATGCACGGTGGGGCCGCATAATTACATAATATGCCGTATTGTAAGTGTGAAGTGTCGTGACTTGTACCATTAAAACATTATGTTTTTAATCCATAAGGGAGTCGTTTCATATTAGTTACTCTTTTTTGGATCAGTTTTACACATAGCTTGTGTTCAAAAATTACAACAGAGTAATCTTTCGGAAAACCACCCCCCCCACCCAGCTGATTACGTAATAGGTGAAACGGACCCCTAATCTACAGCAATGCTTGGACCCCAAGTATTGTATCAATAAAATGTACAAGAGATATATCGAACCGACATGTTTTAACTGGTAAACAATTCATAGAATACAACTAAACAGTGCAAGTGTTTAAAAAAATGCTCATTCAACTGCAGTCATCTTCTGTATACAGCAGAGAGGTTTGCGTATTATTTTGTTTGAGCCAAGTTCCGCTCTAGTTATGCACGTTTGTGGTTCAATATTAGAACCGCAATCATGCGAACTAAGCCTTTTTATCGTGTAATTTTATTATTTTGGCACAAGATTTTAATGAATATAAATATGGATAATGATTACACCAATGAATTTCTTAATTTTATTAAAAAAATAAATTCAAATGTCTACAATTTTTTCCATGTTACAAGTGTCTATAGTTTCTTGTGTAGAATGATGATAAGATAGAGCAGGAAGAACAGGAGCACCACAGCATGTTTGAACGATCTCAATAGCATTAGAATCAGACTTCCTTGAATTATCCACCACACATTTGATAGGTGCGTGTGTAGCGAGAGCTGGATCAACACGTAAGAGATCAGTGCTACTATTGTTGTTCCGAAGTTCTTGGTTGAGAACCATTTCTTCACCGCGATCACGACGGTTGCTATGGCAAACGCTATCCAACCGATCGTACCGTCTTTGTCTTTATCATTACACAGTCCTGTGTAAGAAGAAATGATGAATATTGCTGGTTTTTAGGTGCAACAAATCATATTAAGTTGCTGTTTTATCATGTTTCCACAAATACGCACCTGTCTCAAGTCAAGGCTTTTCAATGACAAATAAACAAGGCATAGTTAATGGTTAATTGAATTTTGTTTCATGCGCCTCGTTAGTGAAATTATACAATTATCATTCGATCAGACCTGTGTGATGGTATATTGAGTTTACCTGGTTTTGGAAAGCAGCATGCCCCTCAACACAGTACCAACTGCTAGTGGCACACTAGTTAGTGTCCCAATATCAGGGAGGTACGTCTTGGTTAGTCCTATCTCTCGACCAAACTTTGCCATCGCTTTAATTCTCTGTTAACCTTAAAGCTTTGAACAACGATTATTAAATTTAGGGATAGTAACATAACAAACAAAGCAAATGGTGATTATGTTTGAGATTGAAATAGAATTTGATATTATAATACGGTCTGATTACACTCACATCTCAACAAATAATACATGTTTAGTTGATCATGCACGACAATAATAAACATAATACAAATTACAAATGAAAGTCCTACATTTTAATAATGACGGAATTAGAAATGTGGCACATATGTTCGAGATTAATCCGAGATCATCGATGGGAAATAACGAGTTAAAGTTCAAGTATGAAAATAGATACGACTCAATAAGTTACAAAGTAGAGCACAAAAACTAAGAACTCTCAATTTGCTTCCCTTAAACCTGATAAGTAAAGTGAGATAACGTGAAGTCTAAAGAAACTCATGGTGTTGCATATCAACTTCCTGACGATCAAGTTTCTCTATGATGTCAATATTCTTAGTTGCTACCGTTTACCTTATTCTTACATAACCATTAACCATGTTACCCACAGAAATAACCAGTTCTGCTCTTTAAACGTATGTTTTAACATACACAATTAGGTAAGTATTATATCTTAAATATAAGATATTAATACCTTAAATATCTTACAATTAGGTACTGTCACTCTTATTTAACACAAAGTCATATGAAAGTCTCGAAATCAGGCAGTTGTAATAAAGTAGTGAACGTAGATACGGAGCTATATTCCCGAGAGTTTGGCGGTAAACCACGCATCGTATTTCTCTGTCACGGTCTGATTCAATTCATAGTGGTACAATGGAATTTCTCTAGATCCACCAGCTGGGTTACAGGGCATGTTTGTACCTCATTAAACAACATTGGAATTGGGGAATTCCTGGGTACTTCAAGTTACATTCTTGTTGAGAACTTTGGAATGTGATTGAAGCATTTGTGGAATTTGTGGAAAATTTGTCACGTTATTTTATCAAGTTAAATGAATTAAAGAGTTTTGAACTCAGTGGCGTAACGGAAGGGACCCCGCTGACCCCGCTGTGTGGGGTGGGGGGGGGGGGGGGTGGTGGTGGGGCAATCTTAGGGGGGCGCAAAATTCGTCGTTTGAATGTTGGACTATTTTGTAAAAACTTAACTGAGGTATTGCAAAACTGCGCGTTTTGCTCTAGAAAACACATTTTTGTATAGATTGCCGGCGTATTCTCTAAAATAACCTAATTTGTTCTACTTTAAGGAGGTGGCGCCAACAGGGACGGGGGCGCCAACAGGGGTGTGAGGAGCGCTTTTCGCAGGGGGGGGGGGGGGGGGGGGGGGGGGGAAATCAGCAACGTTCCGCAACTGCTAGAAACTCATGATTTAGATTACAGTATTGTTGATACCAAGTTGCTTGTAGTACAAGAAAACGAATGCACAATCTGTTAAATATAATCCTGTAAAAACAAATAATAACGTAACCATTTGATTACATTTACATAAATCAGTAATCGTGAAGTTGAATTGCTTTTAAATCATCTCAAAAGTTCCAAGTACCAATAAACGAACACAATTTTCCATCTTTGAATAAACAATAAATTTATTAAAAAAATAAAGTTAATTCTTATATTTCATTTGTTGTTTCTTGGTTCCCCAGAAAATTGCTCGACTGATAAGCACTAAGCAGGAACATAATATTTCAAACAATCCAACGAATGGTATCGTTCTATATTCCATGAAACGATTCGTCCGCCCACAATCCACATATTTAGAGTTTTTCACGTCTTGTTCGTTATAAAGCAAACATTTACCGAACTGTGAAGCTCATACATGATAAATTGTCAATAAGAAGTTTAACATCTCGCCTAACCTCCCACAAACTATCACCACACGTGACACCTCCCTTCTGACTCCTCACTACATCCTTACACTGACAGTATACCACACGTGACAGGTTGTACTGGGCGGAGAAACCAGGAAAGGAACATCTTGTTCTTTAATTTACTGCTCTTTAGATTGTCTGGATATCTGGTTCTCGGGCTATAAAACTGGGGATGATTGGTCAGTGTAAAAACTGTGCAGAAACTGTTGTAAAAAAATTGTGCAAAAAACTGTGTAAAATTGTGCAAAAAAACTGTGTAAAAAAACTGTGTAAATACTGTGTAAAAAAACTGTTTTGTGTAAAAACTGTGTAAAAACTGTGTAACAACTGTGTAAAAACTGTGTAAAAACTGTAGTAAAAACTGTGACTTACTACGAGGTTACAGGTAGCAACTTTAAGGTTAGCCCTCCTAATCCAGATTAAGAATTCCTCGTGGTGAGGTTGGCGAGGTTTCCATACTCCAGCTCGCTTTACTGCAGTTGTTTTAGCCATGAAGAAGCTGGTAACGCTGTCCACTTGCTGGCAGTTTCCTGATTTAAAGGTGAAATCATACGTTAAATGAGAATTAGGTGTTATCTTTTAGTGCACGACCTTTTTTTTAAGTTCCTTTTTTTTAACTGTCCTAAAAACAATAAGATGACAGTCAGAAAGATGATAAATAACTGCAACACTATCTCTAGAAGACTCACCATTGATTTCTAGCTGCCATCTAACATCCCCACTCTGCTCTACTCTGAATAAGAGCACTCGCTAATCTTAACAAGTGCGTTATTATCTTCATCATATCTGGTGAACCTGGGGAAGCTTGAAGATCCGTGTCTCTGTCCACCCACTATGTCCGTATCTGTTGTTGCTAGTACTTGCACCATTGTTTCAAGCTGCGACAATAGTTTTACGGTGATAGGTTTACGGTGATAGGTTAATATGGTAAGGGTGAGATTCTTTACTTTCAGGAAATGAAGAATCAATACCACGTCACATAAACCAAAAATTAAAGTAAAACCAAAATTTTATTACTTTAAAGTTATTACTAACATTAGTTGAATCTGTAAAGACAAAATCGTCGTCAAGTTGCAGGAAAAAAGGAGTCGTTACGAAGCTGAGAGCAATGTTTCTGCTTCTGCCAGTTCCTAGTTTGTTTTTACCATCAGGGGGTGGAACGAAATGATATTGTACATTTCTGTGACCCTCAATGTTGGTCTCATAATTTGTGTATTCGTTGTCCTCTGAAAAATGTTATATTTTGTAGTTCCTTGAATGTATACTTTTGGTTACCTAAATTTCATAAATCTTATTAATCTACCAAACTGATCGGATCGATTTTAGACGCCAAATGTTTTAAAACCACTATTCCCTCAGAAGCGATGTCAATGTTGATACTCTAGCTTACAATGAACTCTGCAGAGCAGTGGATGTGATCAGGACACCATGCTAATAAACTCTCTGTTTGGAATCCTACACCAATCAGGGGTACCGTTTCTAAACCGCCAGTTTGGTTCCAAAACTCTCCCTTTCTCTACAATTGGTTCTCTTGGCGGGTTATTCACTTTTTCAAACAACTGTGATAACACCGAGCTCTCTCAGTTCTCTAAAGGATCTCTAAACGTCAGGTACAAGCTCTACAATGACATTATTCTCCTCATCCACGTGACCACTGATAAACTTATCACTGAAGCGTACGTTTCACAAGCGTTAGACCATGTTCACCTGTTTATTATATCAGAGTTTGGGTTGAATAATTTGAACTCTTGTCAGAACGCTGATAAACTGAAATCAGCTTTGTCAACCACTCTGAACACGATGGCCTGCTGGGCTATTTGAGGAGTTTACATGTATAACCTTACACTTGTTAGCGTACCCAGTGTCGTTCTTCAACAGGGGAACCAAGCTGTGGCAGACTAAGTTGGAGAAGTATTTAGATGTAGCTGAGACAGCGTACGGTTGTGTGTTCCATGATCACAATGTACACACAGTGTCATCTGAATGGCAGAAACTCCCCTTTGTTGAGTGTCTTAATTTGTTGCTGACTTGCTCTAAAATGACACTTAGTCCTGAGAAAGTTCTGGCTAAAAAGCTGGTGTATCTGCCAGTATCATCATCAAATAGTCAGTTTCTGCTTGTGTGTTGCAACTACCATCCTTTTAGAGTGTTCGCTCTTTGTCCACCGAGTATGGAGGACAGCGAAATATTATCCGCATTTAACAGAAGCTTCCCTCAAAAAGATAGTAGTACCCTCATTAAGGAGGAACTGTTCGATTCGTTAAAGTTTGATAATTCTATAGTGGCACTCACTGCTGTTAAGAATTCTGAGAGTATTGTGTATGTCTCAGAAAACTGTTTCGTCAGACGAGCATGAAATAAGGAAGACTCTATCTTATACCATTACAAGAGGACTTGTATCAGCTGATGTTGTTGATGATCATGGTGCTTTAGGTGATGTTAATGCGTTCTTTTTCGTGAACAAGAACATTAATTGTCACCTGATATCAAATCAAGATATTTTGATATCAGCACTTTTTAAGCCTGGTATTTCACAAATTTTATCCGGGGCACTTATTGCTGATATTGTTGATTATTTTCTAGAGAAGAAGAAGAAATGATTCTTTACATTAGTATTATAGTCAAATTGTAGCAGTTTAGGATATTATCTATAAACATTGTATCGATTTACCGTATAAAAAGTTATACTTTATTTAGTATTTTGAGTATCAGTAACTGGGTACTACCATTTTTATTAATTAAATTATAGTTTTCGTCCGGGTACATGGACTATCCAATCTAAACTATTTAAACTATTTAGACTAGTCTAGATTTACCTGGTGGTTGATCGTTAATCACAATAACTTCCATGTTACCATATCCAGATTTAAAGATGGATCTTATCAATCTTACAACTGCTTCCAATTTACCGTGAGTAGTGACAATGGCAGTCACACAGTCTTTTACAGTAGGACATCTGAGAAAAGTCGGGTGGTAAATTATACATTAGAGAGAGAATTACGATTTATATAAGATGTGTTTCAGGAATTTCAGGAATTTCAGGAACACATCAATATGAATTGTGTTTTTTGGAATTATGATAGTCATAATAATATTCAGCATCTTAATACATAGCATAAAATATACATTATTTATTATGCAAGTTATACACGTTACGAGTAACGTCCTTTTACTTACCGTGTATGCTGGTCCAATAGTTTTATAGGCTCCGGAACTCTGTTTAAGAGTAATTTAAGTTCCTCAGCTGATGTGTTGATGTATTTTGATTTTTTCTCGTTAAATAGTTCTCCCGAGTTTCCGTTGTTGCTGTCGATGATTATTGAATATTAGCGTAATGTTATTGTCTTATTATGATGTTGCAATTTAAGGGAGTATGTCCGAATTTATTGATACGTATTATTTGTTGACATTGTGTCTTTTGCTAATAATCTGTTCAATTTTATAAAGTTTTTGAATAACAGCGTATTTTAATCAAAAGTCCTTGACATGACAAAACAACATAATGACGGTTGAAATTATGTTAAAATCATAAATTTACCCAGTTGTAAATCTGTTGCCAGTTTTTGTATTATGACGTCCCTGCTCGTCCATTGATGTGTATTTCTAAATAGACATCTCTCTGGTAGAAATTATTGACCTGCAACAAACAAAACCTGATATTCTATTTTCAACCTACTCATATAAACGTGGGAGTACATTGATGCAGTTTATGTTAAATTAAACGTGGCTGAAAATAAACTATAGATGAAATGTTGTAATTAAGTTTAAACCTACCGAAACTACCCACACAAACACGAAAAACAAACAAAAATACAACAAAAACATGGTCAGAATATCTGCTACAAAACCCAGACGACATCACGATATAAATGAAACACTGAAACAGATGTGCGGTATAAAGGGCTCAATCAAGCGGAGTAATAATGCGACTTTTTACACCAAGTGTTACTACAAAGCCTCTAAACACAGATTTGTATCAATTGGATTACATTCTCCTCACTACTGACTCAGTACTGAGGGTGATATTGAGAAGTAGAACATGTGGTGCCCGGCTGATTGTCTCATCTCATGGAACCATGGAACAGCTATATGTTGGTTATGTAGGCTATTTTGATCTGGTTTTACTGCGCTATCCCATGTGACCATCTGGCATACCACAATTGTTCGACTATTATTTTTCGACAGCAGCTAAATCTGATTATTCCTAAAAGTTTAGCAACTGATTCAATCAATCATAAGGAAAATTGAGACAACTTGTTTGAACATTCAGAGTTAACGAACTAATTAAGTTATAGCTGTAAGGAAAATTGAGATAATACATTGATCTTTGAACCTTCGGATACTAATTTAGTTAGTTATTATAAAGTTATAAAGAAAATTGAGACAAAAAGTTTAACCTTTACAACATGTAGGAGGATGAGTGAAGTTGAAAAAGCATGGATGTACCTCCGGAAGAGTAAATACAACGACATCATGGATCCTGAAGAACTGAAAGAAGGTTCTTTCTTATTTAATTAATATATTGTACATAATTAGTACAGTTAGTTTAATTACATAACCATTAACCATGTAAAGCTGCCAAGTCCTGTTTTAAGTAGTCGAATAGATGGAGCGATGATGTGAAATTAATAAGGAACATTATTAAAACGTTATGTGTTGCGCGCGAACGCCAAACAAGATTTTAATATTCTAAAAACGTTTTTCAGCCGTTAGTGTAGCTTTTTGAAACGGCGCGCGCAGCTAATAATTTGACTGGCGGCATGCATTGATGAGACAGTGAACGTTTTAAATATTGCATACAGATAAATGTTTGCCGATTTTCATCGGATTACTAACACATTTTTCGCTTGTTTACTATATCAATATATTTCAGTTCTCCATCTTTGTGGCAAGGATGTGACCAGCAAGCAGATCAAGACTATAATGAAGAACGAAGGAGGTAATTATACTTTTATGTTTTATGATTTTGAAGTATGATAGAGGAAATCAAAATAAAACACGATATTTATACAATTTAACAATAGAATAATGGGGAATAAATCAGCGCAGCATATTTAATATCAGATATGTACAATAATCAATATACTTACTAATTACTTTCAATGGACGGTAACCGTAATGGGTGCCACACAGTGGCGTAACGAAGGGCCCCGCTGACCCCGCTGTGCAGGGGGGCGCCGTCTTAGCTAGGGGGGCGCCAAATCGTCGTTTGAATGTGGGACAATTTCGAAAACTTAACTAAAGTACTAGCAAAACTGCGCGTTTTGCTCAAGATTGAGTAGATACACACTTTTTTAGAGATTTTACCGGTGTGTCCTTAAAAATATTTACTTCACGACTCGATCTTCGAGATTTTTCTAAAATTTCGATTTAAGTTGGTTTCAACTTAAATCGATGTAATTTCGGACGCTGATTCTGAATCACCCCCCATGACTTAGGGTTTACTAGATGATCCCCTGGCGCATCACTATTTGCCTAATTTTATAATGCCTTGGCGATCATTTCATTTTTCTCGACCGATTGATCCCAAATATCCATCGAAAAAAACCGATTACGCTACCGAACATTACAAATTATAGAAATTACCGTAGACAAAAATTATCCTAAAAAAAATATTTACTTCACGACTGAGCGTGCTTATAATCACTCTACACTCGATCTTCGAGATTTTTCTAAAATTTCGATTTAAGTTGAAACCAACTTAAATCGATATATTTTCGGACGCTGATTCCGAATCATCCCCCATGACATAGAGTTTAGATGATCCCCTGGCGAGATATTGGTGAAATCTCGATCACGTGATATGACCGTATAAGGAGATTGGTCTAATTTCTCGTTAGGGTTTAAGAGTTAGGGTTTCAGGCTTCAGCATATTTACTTACTTCGTTACTTCGTTGAGTTCATCCGTGGAGCCGGAAGGGTCATCAGATATCTGACCACCTGGATGGCGAGTAGTCGACCAGTGAGTTTGACCAACTGCAGCTGTAGCCGGCGACCGGAGGGTTGTCCGGTATCAAAGCAAGAAAGTTCGACAAACTACACTTAAACATGTCAAAGGATGAATCAGCCTTTACTGTGTGAGGCACTTTGTTCCACAGCTTCGGTCCTTGAACTGCAAAAGACCTGTCGTACAGTGACTGGTTGCGTAAGGAACTTGACTTTGACAATGAGGGTATGACAGCTACATCCCCGTGTCTTGGGGTCACCTTGAATTTGATATCACCGCAGTTTGGTACCACATTATGGAGAATCTTCCACATCATCAGGATGATATACCTCTCCCGTCTGCGCTGTAGAGACATCAATTTAAGCTGTACGAGTCTTTCCCAATAGTTGAGATGTTGAAGACCGCCAATACGACTGGTGAAAGTTCTTTGCACCCCCTCTATCAGCTGTATTTCAGTCACCTTGGTAGGGCTCCAGAGTGGGCAGCAATACTCTAGTAAGCTACTTACTAGTGACTTGTAGAGAGTAATCATTACGGTCTTGTCGCGAGTTTTGAACACACTGAATACCCAAGATAGTGTGCTCCTTGCTTTGGGTACCATGTTGCCGATGTTGTCGACCAGCTAAGATCACTTGAAACCATAACTCCAAGATCTCGGACGTTTTCGACAGGATAAAGTATGTCCTGACTGGATACTTTGTAACGCAGTGTTTCGGCAAAGAAGGGTAGTTCGGGGAATGAGCTCTTACTGTTATGGAGGTGATTTAACAGCTCGAACTTCTGCTCGTGAAGCTTCATGTTGTTGCTACGTGACCAGTCAAGAATCTTATAGATATCTTCTTGTAACAACTGACAGTCTTCAAAACAGCCAATCTGTTTGGAGACTCTAGTATCATCGGCGAAAAAACTCACCCTAGATGAGTCCACTACTTGTTCTAGATCATTGATGAACAAGATAAAGAGAAGCGGCCCCAAAACGCTTCCCTGGGGAACACCACTTAAAACCTTTGCGATAACCGAGTGAACTCCATTAAGCACCACGACTTGTTCGCGATCAAAGAGAAAGGACTTTATCCACTCTATGAGCTTGCCATATGATTTTGTTAGAGATAGTGTTAGGGTTGGGATCAGATTAGAGGGTTAGGGTTTCGAATAGTCGTTCAGGGCCAGCCATAGAACGGGTTGAAAAAGGCACGTGACAGTCGAGTGTAGAGTGATTAATCGTCATCCCTTCACGATAAGATTGCAAATGAAGTAAGTGTTAGGTTTTAGCAGTTATAATAATTCTTTGATAGCCTCATTTTCATACCTGTATCCTCTGTAAATTTAACGTTCAGGTGTCATAACGTACGAGAGACTTTTGGAGCTTGCTAGGGAGATAAAGTCGATCTCACTGGACGACATTATGCGAGCCTTCAAAACGTTTGATATTAACGGTGACAATTTCATAACCCTGACTGAACTCAGTGCACTCTTACAAAAGGTTCGATATATATCTGGTTATTTTCTTTACTTTGTATCATTGTGTTCCATTTCAGAATAAATAAAAATGGACCAAGGTCAAGCACACTTGTTTTGAAGTTTGGTCACAACTGCTCTAATCTTTATCCAACAGTTAGGTGAGAAGATGTCTGCAACGGAGGTGGATAAAATATTTGCTACTCTTGATGTTAACAAGGACGGTAAACTGGACTTCAAGGAGTTTACTGGACTCTATGAGAACACCTCCAGACAGCTGAACCACTTGTTATCTGTCAGAGGTATTATACTTTCAGTTCTTCGAGTAATTGAATCAGGCGGTTTTAATATACTTCTCATATTATCCTTACTGATTACTTAGGTAAACAATTGTTTTACCTTCAGCATGCCTCGTATAATATGTTAGAGTAGAAATAGTTTGACTGTTGATTTTTGTTAGAATATGTCTGAAAACTTACCTGTCACTGCTTCAGTGCCAAATGAGAAACCTAGCACAGAAAGTAAGATACCAGCTGTACCTAGTTCAGTGTCTGTTACCGAAACTGAAACGGAAACTGAAACTGAAACGGAAACTGAAACTGATGAAGATGATGACATCGTTGTGGTTCCTAGAAAACAGCCCCTTAAAATTGCAGGTTTGATTTTACCCGAAAGTTTACTTTTTCTATGATCCATATCGCATGAATGAAGGCTCATTTGATAGGTTCATACTCACCGGCAAATATTCTCATTATTTGTAACTATTCGAGGAACTCCTTCCCTAACCAGAGGACCAGGTGTAAAGAGGAATTATGAGATTGTGGGTATCACAAATTATCAACAAACTTCATGGGCGCTCTACTCCACCTATTATCTGCACACCTTCACCACCTCATGTTGGCACGTTTATTCGATTTATTGTTTTCAATTTAATCTAATCAGGAAGGTTTCTGTGAATGTCTAAAGTAAACATTTAGTTTTATTCTTGATTTTCGCCTTATTTATCAAGTAACCCTAAACATTGTCAGAAAAAGCTAAAGCTGTGACAGATCCTAAAAAACTTACAAAAACAAAAGTCGATGAGAAAAAAGAAGAGGCCAAATCAAATGTTGTGGAAAAGAAAGAAGAGAAGAAAGAAGAGAAGGCAAAAAAAGGTCTTCAACCTAAACCGGCTGCCGAAAAGAAAAAGATAGCCACCGAGAAGAAATCAACCGAGCCCAAGAAAGCTGCACCATCAAAAGCTAAAGAAAAGACGGTGCTAAAATCTACGACTAAATCCGCAAAACCAGCAGAAAAATCACCAAAAGCCTCAAAAGGTAAGGAATGAGGACCAACTTTATCAAATAATGTGTATATTTATAAACAAATTGTATGAGCGGTAGGTTTTTATATAGATGAGTAGATGACTCGGTTTCACCGTTTCAAAATTTCCCACATGACATGTGAAGTCATACTAACAAACCGGTTTCTCATACTGTCCATAATATCATAACTCTGTTATCTGTGTAACCTCACTGACAAACACCCCAGAAGAAGAAGCAGCCCTGAAACACCACCGTAATGTTCGCGGTTGCACCTACGCTGGTACACGCGGTGATTGGACCGCACACCAATACCTCCTCACGGTCCCGAAGAAGACTAAACTTGTCATGCTCTTATCACCGCTCGCTCAAAGTAAGCTATTTACTTTTTAATTTCTAAGAAAATTTCTAAAGAAATTTCGAAGATGAATGAGTCACTAATTGGTTCAAGTTTCGCAACATGTTATAACTTGACAGTTGACTCACTTAAACTGCTCCAGAAGTTTAATTCGTACACGAACAAAGTTATTATAAAATGGTAGAAATTAGATCCCTAAATAGCTAAATGGATCTGAACGCACTTTTCGTACAAGAGAAAATACTATGATTTTCAAAATACGTGGCTCCTCAGACCCCAATTACAGAACACCCAAAATTACCGCGGATATGAGGACTTGTTCATATTCTGGCATAAGGAGCTCAGCAATATATATATGATAAAGCAGCAACTGTTAACAGCTGATTTTACTTGGATTTAATTACAGACAAATTTAATTTCAAAACACAGCTAATTGAAATTCATGACATACACCACGCCCGTTTATAAGTCACACGCTACAAACAGTTCATTTGGAGTTACAAAGGGCTCTTACTAATTCGCTCGCCCAAAAATTTCACGTGACTTTGGTTTTTATGGTTTTGCAGCCGTACAAAACGGTTTTACATAAACCCTAATCCCAACCCTAACCCTAACCATAACCCCGAAGCTATCCATAACCCTTACCACAACCCTAACCCTAACCCGAGCCCTAAACAATCGAATTCATGTTTTACTAGCCTGTCACGTGACCAAAACGGTTTTTTGCCCATAACTCTCCAGGGAAGCATTTTTACCCTACGTCATGGGGGGTGATTCGGAATCAGCGTCCAAAAATACACCGATCCAGATAAATTTCATACCCAAAGGGCCTTTTCACAAGAATTTTCTTAAAATTTGGGCGAGCGATTTAGTAGGAGCGGTTACAAAGAGTCACAATACCCCTTGATGCCCCCTCAAAATAGTGATGATACACAAGCTCTGTTTCTTATCACGTGACCTCCCCGTTTTAATCTGATTGGTGGGGGTGGGGGAGGTGCAGGTCTTAACTGAAACGTGGACTCAGATTCTGATTTAGAGAACCGTGCCCCTTGTCCAAAAATTACGTCCTTAATAATTACTTGAGGGGTGGATGAAGAGAAAAATACTTTTTTCTCGGATCTATACTTGAATATCTGAGCTCTCAACCAACTTCCGTGCCACAACCTCCACAGTTTGCTCCTGCTGTCTCTACAGCACAGGTAGAAAATAAGAGGGTTCATTGCAGATAGAAAGCAGGGAGACAAGCAGTCCTTCATGAAGTTTATCTTAAGGAGAGTGTATATCATCATGGGTTTCACCGCGTGCAGGGCTATGGAGGTGGTAATGAGACGAGAAAGAGAGTGTTACCCAGGTTCATGAGAACAATTGCCCAGCTGCTCTGTCTGCATTTAGCTCGTGTCTCTGTGATCACACTCCTCTTTGTTTTAAGTAGATGGTAAATTGTTAAGAGACTGGTTATCAGAGATACCAGACAGTGTGCCAGGTAGGGCACTGCCACTGCCATCTGCCAGCTCACGTTCGTTTCCCTCCATGAAATCTGCTGGAACCGGAGCCAGTACGGCTTCCCGGTAACAGGGTGGCCTGGGCCACAGAACATGATGTTTCTCACCAGGACCGCCACCAGGAAGATAACGTTGAGTGCAATGTAGAAGAGTAGAGAGCGGATCCTGAAGTTGGTGAAAGGTCTGATTATCTTGATGTAGCGGGTGATGGAGAGGAGTGATGTCAGAATGGCGGAGATGGAGATTACTGTTACGTTGAATATGCTCCAGAGTTCCTACAAAGGTTTATTTGTTATTGTAAATCTATATCGCGACATATGTATGCATAACTGTGCATGGAAATGAAGTTGAGCATAAGATACAATTTTGAGCATTTCTTTTGCCAACAATCTTATCATTTTCTCACCATTTAGTCTTTACAAAATATTGCTCTACCTTCGTGAATGTAGAATGATTCTTGATAGGTGACACTTGGCTGCTGAGCAAATTAGATATGATAACGAAGGGGAAGGTGACATTAGTCAGGAAGTCTGCCACTGCCAGCAATTTGAAGAGTATAGCAGCAGTGGTTTTCCTCTGTGTGTGGTTGTAGTATATCAGGAGAGGATTTGCTATGCTTGATACACCGGCAAATGTACCCAGTAGCACAGCAAATGCTTTGTTGAACACCTGATGAAGAGAGAGAGTTAGTGGATACGTGGGGACCCTTGGTGGGAGTTTGTGGTCTAAAATATTTGAATACTGTATAATGATTAAATGAATTAGAATCCTAGTTTCTCGTATCCTGCTTCGTAATCTAAAGATTTACGTATTGAATGAATAATTATTATAAACCTTGGCTTGGTTATGCATTAAGTATCAATTAAATTTTGACCCTGTATTAAATCTGAAAATGATGTCCAACCTCATCGTAGTGGTTGCCTGTATGGATAGGATGAAGCTGCCCGTCTGGTCCGGGAATTCGCTCCACCAGGCTACCGAATATTACCATCCTAGTAGGATTAAAATGTAGGATCTTATGGTTTCATGTTATTAGTTTAATTTTGCCTTGGCTGAGTTTCTGACCATTCATGATCCAGACAGCAATAAATTTTATTAAAAGAAATTTTTAAAAACGTACAACAAACGTGAATAATTTGTTAATACTTAATAAGTGATGTCGAAAGTGTTGAAACACGTTATTATGAGTAAACTAAAACCAGTTTGAATTCCAGGTCAGGAGGACAAGGTTCTGCCCGATGTGACACTCTACCTCGTCAAAAAGGACGATACTTCTGTTACGCTCATGTCCCTGGATCGAACCGACGATAACAGGTAATAAAATTGAGGGTAAATGTAATAAACATGTAGGTTAAGGTAACACTAACAGATGCTACAAGTGTGATTATCTCGAATAAACTGAACGTGGCTCACTGGTCATTAGTTCATCGGACATAATTATTCCGGACATTACTTTCACGCTGAAGACCTTAGCGTGAATAATTGTGTCCGATAAGGTAGTTTGTTGGCGTTGGTGCGTTCAACATGAGAGTAAGACATTGAATATTGATGATCCGTTCAAGTTAAAAGACACAAGGAAATCAAGGAGATCACCAAGGTAATAAATATTCAAATAGCGTTCCTGCGAAACCATGCAATTAACGCAACATCTTCCACAGCTTGTGATTAAGCTGTTTTTGAACACTCGAAAGTAAAGTACTAATATGGACTTCTTTTAGATAATGATATATGGACACGTTCATTTGAGTTTGAGGATATTGGTAAACAAAAATAATAGCGTTTTCGACGATAGTGGCTTAATTTTGACATCTATTAACCTAGCACGTTCAGAAGTTCTGAACATTAGCCACGTAACCCATACTCCCATATGCACTGCTCAGAAAGAAAATCTATTGTTGTTAGGCACTATAATGTTTCAAATGTCACATTTTGTGTGACTTAGTTAACTGCAGTTGTCTAATTATCATTCCTTGGTCTGAAATATAGTAGATTAGGTTAATCTAACAATTATGATACAACATTGGTTAAAGTAGAAGCAGGGAGCTAACCCTACCTCTATCTTAGAGTAAAGCTGGAGGGTGAAGTAGAAGCAGGGAGCTAACCCTACCTCTATTTCAGAGTAAAGCTGGAGGGTGAAGTAGAAGCAGGGAGCTAACCCTACCTCTATTTCATAGTAAAACTGGAGGATGAAGAAGAAGCAGGGAGCTAACCCTACCTCTATTTCATAGTAAAACTGGAGGATGAAGAAGAAGCAGGGAGCTAACCCTACCTCTATTTCAGAGTAAAACTGGAGGGTGAAGTAGAAGCAGGGAGCTAACCCTACCTCTATTTCAGAGTAAAGCTGGAGGATAAAGTAGAAGCAGGGACCTAACCCTACCTCTATTTCAGAGTAAAGCTGGAGGGTGAAGTAGAAGCAGGGAGTTACTCAGTTCTGACCCACACAACAAGTTGTAACTTTGTGAACGAGTCCGATCTGCCCATCACTCCCGTCCCGGTGAAAAGTGAACAGAAGCTGAGTCCTACTGCTGCGTGAGTTTAATGAGTACGCCTATAATATAATTTCTTAGAACATTACAAAATATTAAGCACAGCTGTTTACTATTTTTTAATTGAAACTCCTTTAAATCAATCAATTACATACAAATTACACAATGGAATAGGCTACAAAATATACCTTGAGAGACTACGGTGTACAAATTATCGTTTTATAATCTACTAGTGTAACCCGGCCTTCGGCCGTGATTTCACTGCCGCAGTTAAAAAGGGTAGGACTATTTACCCGCTGAGTCAAAACCTGCATCAGGTGACCAATTCTATTCGGAGACCGGAGTACCCTCACTTATCCAACAGTATTTAACATCATTGCATAATCAGTTCTTTCTCGTGGATAATTGAGTCATTATTAGGCACCACATTCAATGATCATAAGGTCCGTACACCGACTATTACACCGCTTTCCATTTTTATTTAAATCTTTAAAAAATTAACCCTTATTAACTCCGGCCTCCGCACCACACCCGCCTATTATATTTGAAAACATGCATTAAATTGTCGTATGAAAGGATGAACTCTCTCTACAGTCCAAACAGACCGCAATGAGCGCTTCCTCCCCTAATAAGCTTATAGTATATATTACATGACAATTGACAGTGTAATTATGAAATATATGATATATGTACCAACGCTACATAATATGCAGTAATGGGAGAGAGAGCGAGGAGGGAGAAAATGTGAGCCATTTTATTTAACATTTGTGGTACAAGGGGTTTTCCAAACACAAGGGGTTTTCCAAACTCCAGGGGCTCGTGAAGTGTCTTACACAACCTCTCCGAGCCCAAGATCCGTAGTGCGTGGTGAAGAGCCACACCCTTCTCGAGGTGCCACTGTTAAGCTTAGTAGCCTGTTCTGGGTGATTCCAGTTAAAACAGGTGAACGGTAACAGAACACTGCGGCTCTAGACCAGTACAGGTCGAAAAATATAACCGGGACATCTGTCTCGTTAGGACTGCATGCAGTTCATCGGGTGCGAAGGGCCAGCATCCCTTCCACCTCAAATAACAACGCTACTGAAACAACACACACATCAAATGGACGGAGTGCTACTTCCAATTCAAGGACGGATGGTTCCAGCATGACGGAGGCTGGGCAAAGCCTACGGGACCCCAGTCGCCTGATGAGAAGAGGGGTTACTCGTCATCTGACCAGATTTATTAGTCAACAGATCATCCATGTTGACCCTGCTTCCAACAAATCCAATCCAGTAAATTATTGCAAACAGTTTTTACGTTTTGGAACATGGAACGTTCTATCTCTTGTCAGCTCATCTACACAGCTCTACCAACTTAGTCAAAACATTGATCAGTACAGATTGGATCTTTTGGGGATCACCGAGACTCACATGCCTGGATCTGGCACCACTCTACTGGACAATGGCAGTCTACTCATCCATTCCGGTAGAGTCGACGGGATCAAGAGACAGGGAGTCGGTCTCAGTCTTTCAAAACGAATCAGAAACTCCCTGATATCGTTCACTCCCACATCGGAGCGGGTTTTAACTGCTAGGCTGCATAGTAAGCAAATCAACATCTCTGTTGTTGTGGCCTATGCTCCAACTGAGGGTGCAGAGGAGAGTGAGAAAGATAAGTTTTATAGGACACTCACAGATACATTTGATGGGCTACCTCGTCACGATATCAAGTTACTGCTCGGCGATTTTAATGCAAAAGTAACATCAGGCAGATATGGAAGTGAAGCGGTCATCGGTGGGGAATCACTCCATAGCTCATCAAATGACAACGGGACAAGACTTGTGGATTTCTGTGCGACGAACCAGCTTGTCATCGGGGGAACTCTCTTCGAGCACAAGAAAATTCACAAGGGAACATGGCGGTCCCCCAACGGGATCACCGTCAATCAGATAGATCATATCTGCATTGGAAAGCGGTTTCGTCAGTCACTTTTTGATGTTAGGGTATGTCGCGGGGCAGACATCGGCTCCGATCATTATCTGGTTCTAGGACTGCTGAAAATCAAACTTCAGTCAGTGACAAAGATCAACGCCAACAGGCCCAATGTGCCTGCCATTGAGCGCCTGAGGGATAGTACTACGGTTACAGAGTACAATGTGGCTCTTCAAAACCGATTTGCAAGTCTGGATAGTGAGGTCAACCTCGAGGATATGTGGCGTAATCTCAGTCAGACCGTCACTGATGTCTCACTGGAGGTACTAGGCAAGAGACCCCGGAAGGCAAAGGAGCAACACCTGTCACGGAAGACCAAGGATTTATTGATTCAGCGGGCACAGTTTAAGCGCAAAGACCCAAACTCGGACGCTAACAGGTCAGAGTATTCTAAACTTAATAAGTTAGTCAAGAAAAGCAGCAAGCTAGACGACAATAACTGGGCAGTTAGAGTAGCTACTGATCTTGAGGAAGCAGCGAGCAAAGGTCAGCAGCGTGAAGTATGGGCAAAGATCAAGAAGATCTCTGGTAAGAACAAGAAGCCTCAAGCATCTTGTGTCCGGGACAAGGACGGTAGGAAGATCACGGATCCCCAACAGCAGAGGGATAGGTGGAAGGAGCACTTTACTGAACTTCTGAACCCTCCATTATCAAGTGTCGACCTTGCCGACCTTGATACAGTACCACCCCAACCCCACTTTAACTCTCTCTCTTGTTCGGATGGACCACCCACCAGAGACGAGATTAGTTACTCCCTGACAAAGCTTAAGAACAACAAAAGCCCAGGAGTGGACGGGATAACTAACGAGCAACTGAAGTATGGTGCGAGTGCTCTAGTTGATCAACTAGAGTGTCTATTCAAGAAAGTCTGGGAAGAAGAGACTGTTCCTGAAGATTGGTTAAAGGGTGTGATCATTGTTATTGGGAAGAAAGGAGACACTTCAGTCTGCGGGAACAACAGAGGGATCACCTTAAGGTCTACAGCATCTAAGCTTTTTCAGATGATTCTTCTTAAGCGGTTACATGCTGGTATGGAGTGTCTTCTCAGGGAGAATCAGTGCGGATTTAGACAGAACCGCTCATGTATTGATCAGATTTATTCTCTCCGAACTATTATTCATAACTGTCTTGAGTTTAACATTCCTCTCTACATTAATTTTGTCGATTTCAAGGCAGCGTTCGATTCTATCAGAAGGGACTTTATTTGGTGCAGTATGAGACACTATGGGCTGCCTGAAAAATATGTCAGAATATTTCAGTCATTTTTTGGGGGTACCATGAGTGCCGTGAGGGTTAATGGGGAGCTGACAGACTGGTTTGATGTTAACTCAGGCACAGGTCAGGGCGACATTCAAGCACCTCCTGTCTTTAATTTCTGCCTAAACTTTTCTGCATTTCTGGCTGAGACCAACAAGATCATCAGTCAAGGCGCAGTGCTGCAGAAAGAGACGAAGACGGTCGAGGAAAAGGTCATTTTGGACACCGATTATGCTGATGACATGGCTATTATGGACAACTCAGGGGAAGGCCTACAGGAGTCAACTGATCTATTAGTTCATTACAGCTCCTACGCTGGGCTCAGAATAAATGCAAAGAAGACCCAATGCATGGCTGTAAGCAAGTGCGCCTCCCAGCGACCTTTCATCAAGGATGATTGTATTGAGCTGTCGGTTGAGGGTGAACCCGTCGAGCAGGTTAGCAACTTTGTCTACCTGGGTGCAACTATCAGTGGGGATGGGACAATCAACAGAGACCTGGATGTCCGTATCCAGAAGGCTAATGGCGCCTTTCATCAGCTCTGGAACATTTGGAATAGCAGAACTATAAAGACTCCAACCAAGATCAGGATCTATAGGGCTGCTGTCCTCACCATCTTGTTGTACGGAGCTAATGTCTCAAACACCACCAAAAAGCAGATGAAACGCTTCGAGGTTTTCCATCAAACCTCCTTGAGAAGGATCCTTAGGATTAAATGGTTCTTTCATGTGACCAACGAAGAAGTTCTTAGGAGGGCTGGCATCAAGTCAGTCGAGACTTTCATCAGTGCTGCCAGGTTACGTTGGTATGGACATGTAGTTAGAATGCCAGACTCTAGACTACCAAGGTTTCTGTTGAACTGGAAGCCAAATTATGGAAAGAGGTCAAGGGGCAGACCCCGTAAGAACTGGAAGTCCTGCGTACTCGAAGATGCTGCTAAGTTTACAGGTGTTGAAAACATCGACAACAACACGACAGAAGCTTTGGCTACCAACCGAGTACAGTGGAGACATATGTTACGCCGCCAACGCGATGTGTGTGATGCAGGCCACTCCAACGACTAGGAGGAGACCTTACCATGTATGTATGTACAAAACCATCAATTAAACCACTTTCCACCGACCGATTTAAAAAACATTTACCATTTGTCTTCCTCATAGTTTTCTCGGTACTATACCGAAAAAAAGTCCAATAACTCTAACCATTTTCTTGATTAAGCCGCTCGGAAATTACCCTCGCACACACACACACAGACATACACAGAGACACACACTCTGAGATTATTGTTTAAGATTGAAAAGGCGAGAAAGGTTGGCTGATTGAATTACTCTAAAAACTCAAAACTTGGAGGCCAGCTTTTCACGGCTTCAATAATGAAGATTCTTCGTTTTCTTGGCTTTTATCGCGTCTAGTCAGTTAAATATAATGATTTGACTAGTGGTCCGTGATGTGGCGAATCTATTCCAATTTCCAAGTAAATTATGTCAATTGTGGAGTTAAAAGTGCCTATCAAATACGTTTGAAGTGCATCAACGACCAATGAAATCACCCTACAGTAAATTCGCTGTCACGTATTTTAATCACGTATTTAAGCCTTATTTCAGTTTATGTCCAGTTTATCAACAGTTTATTAACCTAAGATGAGAAGTACGAATGAGTCGGACTTTTCAATTTACTCGTATCGTACGTACTTTTCAATTCTATTGAAAAGTTCTCCTTCTAGAAATCGATGGAAGAGTTCTAAATCGCATGTTACGGACTAATATTGAGCGTTTTCAAAAACTTGTGTTTCTATATTCCAATCGTCGATTA